ATAGATGTCTTCTTTTCCCCTCCCCAGTGAAGGTGAGCTCTGGGGTTACGCAAGGTGGAGGCTGGCCAGGCTGAGCCTCGCCAGTGCCCCTCGGTCCTGGCTTTCCACACAGTTGTTATTCCAGTAAAGTCTCTCTCTCTCTCTTTCTCTCTCTTCAGCTGCAGCTGCCAACTCTGTTCAAATGTGTGGTTGGTTTTTCTGCTGTGGGCAAAGAGCCACCAAGACTGAAGTTGGATCCACGAAACTCATTTCATGGCCAGACGCCGATTCCTTTAACCATAACTCTCCATAGGTAATAAACGGTGGAACTATGCCACAAAAGAGGTAGGCACCTCTCTCTGCTGGAATATGGAAAAGTTTGTTGCCCCAAAGCAACAAAGACTATGCTCTAGGAGTCTGGGGAATAAAAAGAAAAGTGTCACCCCCCCACACCTTTTTCATTTTGGATTGCTTTTTTTCTTGGATGAATTTTAAATGGCTACTTGTGAGGAAACTACTTTTATTCCAAACAAGGATTCATCTGTCTGCTTCTGCAAGGATTAAGTCTACACCAAAAGGGAAACAAAACTCACCCACATTATTCCTGTCTGCATGGAATTTACAATAATGAAAAGAAAGCACCTCAGCCATTTGCCATGGGGCGTCTGGAAGGCTTGTGTTTTCATCTTGGTAACTAGCTCCTTAAGGAGGGCAATTCGCATTTCCCCTGGAAAAATCTCTGCAAACAACACAGTTGGCCAGCAAGGGACGTGACCTCTTCAAAATCTACCTGCTAAAGACCAAATTTGATGGTTCCTGGGGTAACAAACTAGATAATCTGGTTTTATCATCCATCCCCCTTACTCCACTGTCATCACTGAGGCTGAACAGATTAAAACTGATGAGATGATTTAGTGTATGTGTTACGCTGAGTGCAGCTGCCTACTTTCTATATGGCAAATATAAGGATAACTTCATCTATTCTATATAAACTGGTATTTATTTATACACTCAAGTTTCTCTTCTAGTTGGCAGGCCTTTTTCCTTAGGCCTTAGAGGTCTTCCTTAGGCTTCTAATCCTAGAGCCTTATGTGTGAACGTTATTCTTTCCAGGATAAATTAACAAAACTCAGTGCTCTGCCATGCAGAGGTTACTGAGTTAGCTTTGGATGGGCTAGTTAAGGTGTGAGAACCAATTAAGTTGCCTTAACTTTGGACTCTTCCAAGCTAGTATGCAATTCTTCCCAGCAGAGTTAATTAGCCTAGGCATCCAACCAGCAATTTTCACAGCAAACTAACCAAATTATCTCTGCATGATACAAAATTGTGTCATGTCTGAGCCCAGAATTTGTCTGTCTACATATGGGGATAATTAACCACAGGTTGTGCCATTGAAAATGGCAGTGGATGCTCTAGGGCGAGGAATAGTCCATACACATAAACATCTGGACTAAAAAACACGTAGTGAGTACCCTGCTATATGCTCAAATTTTGTGCCAACTATCATTTTTAAAAATCAAAATCATTACAGGTAAGAAGCATGAGGAGACTAGGGTTCAAACTTCCACAATGTAGCATAAAGCAAAAGCTTTTTGACATCCAGTTCAGCATTATCTAGCAATTTTGTCTCGGTCAAGTGCCCTCACTGACTTGATAACAGCTCCAATTTAAACAGAACAGTGCAGATGTTCCATCTTGCACTGGAAGTGCTGCTGAGCTACTGGTGGCTCTGCAGAGACTTGGAGATTCAAGGGAAACCGGAGACGGCACACTTTTATTGACAGTGTGGTATTTTTATGAGGTATTTTTATTACCTGCATTAACTCTAGTACCTCAGGTTCTCATTGTACTTATAAGTTTATTCTTGTTGTTCCTAAGAAGTGAGGAAGCACTTCTCTTGCCATTTTTCAAAGGACGGGGGACCTGCAGGGAGGTTCAAAGCCTTAGCCACCGCCAGGCTGAAGAAATCTGTGATAGGTTTAGGGTCTTAACACTGGTCCTCAAAAGGCTAAGGTGGGCCACTGACCCACTTTCTCCTGTGACAGTGGCAGAAGTTGTGTTGTTTTAACTAGTATAACATATAGAAGTGTAAAGAAACAAGCACAATGTAAAGTGTAAGAGGGAGAACATAATTTTCTGTAAGTACTCTAGTACACATAATTATGCTGATAATAAACTTATCCTGGGCATAGCACGTAGATATTATCTATTATATCCTCAGGAAGCACTGCTATGTGACCATTTAATTAAGCCATTCAAGTTATTTTTCACACTTGGATTATAAATATCCATCACTTCAATGCTGAAAGATGAGGCATTAAGCTGATTCTTTTGCTCTTAACCTCATATTGAGTGATATCTAGTCAGTCCATTGAAAAGGTACCTACTTACTTTCACTATCACCATTGGAAGTGTTTAAGCATTTCTTTATTGCCTGCTTTCCACTGGGAAGATTGGAATAGAATAAGATTGGAATAGAATAAGATTTTCACTGCAAACCTCTCTTCCTCAACCTTTTTAGAAAAAGAACCTCATCCACAGAATCCATGTTGCCTCAAGGAATGTGGACTCACAGTCACAAGCCTAGGGTTACTCATAAAAACCTTTAAATTTGAAGCTAATCCAGAACCAGTGGTATAACCCAGACACAGACCTTTCCTGACAAAACCAGCTGTTACCATTTGAGAGTTCTGCTCAATACCGTACGGTTCCAAGTAGGGACTAGTCTTGCGTCAAAGATCGCTGAAGAAATAGTCAGTACTCCAGCCTCCTGTGTTTCTTTTCTTACTAAGTAATTATCCTCTTGCAGTTGCTGGGACTTGCCCTCTAGATTTCTGTCAGCGCTGTCTCACTGTTCCAGTAAATGACAGCACGACAGTTTCAGCACATTTCAAAGACCGCGCAGTCAAGAAAGATGTCCCTCTCTGAAGGCACGTTGTGCTTTGTTCATGAGTTACACCCACAGATGTTTTAATGTCAGCCTTGCATTGATCAGTGACAAACTTGGTCTTTTGTTCTCTGGGAAATTCAATTCTCTTGTAAAATCTGAAATTGGACACTACATGACGCAGTCGGCACAAAGTCTTAGACCTTTTAGGTTGCACGATTCCAGGCTCCTGCTCTTCCATACCGAGTTCAGTATGGAAGGAGAGGTACCAGAATGGACACCCTCTGACTTTATAGCACTACCAGAACCACACACGTGCCTGTGATAAATCAAGACAGTGGAGATTGTCTCCAGTAGCTGCCCTCAGAGCCACCATGTAATGCTAGTTTCTGCTTCCCATACTTCATCCAGAGCCAGTTGTGGGATATCCATTTGCACTCAGAATAACCTCAGCTCTGTACATTATTTGGGATACCTTGGGGTGAAATGTAATATCCTATATCATATATGACACCACCGTTCCTTAATTTGTTAGAGACACTGAAGAATAGTAATAGCAGGCGAGATATTTTTAAATACAAGAAATGCAACCTCTGAGAGCCAGCCTCACCTTTGGCATGACCCCTTGGAGTCATTTTAGCATTCCTAGCAGTTTCCTTACAGAGCACAGCACATGTTCTCATTCTTGCACACGCATATACTACAAGACATAGATAACAATATATGTAATGGAAACAAGATCTTGTTCTGCTCACTGCTCCTATGGTATCATTTGCCCTAAGGATGATGCAAAACTCCCAATTTTAGACTGACTTGTTATAAAAATGACCAACCTGTGCAGAAGACTTTAATCTTCAGGTCATTTTTCTGTTCTCAACTACCCCTCCGCCCCCTGCTTTTTTTTTTTTTCCTAATGGATAATAACATTTGCATGGATATAACATCCTTAGAACTACAGTATTATGAACTCAGTGCTATTTAAGTTGCAGATTATAATTGGCATGATAAAGGATCACAAGTGTATCTTTTCTGTCAGCTTGTTCCATTAAGAACCTCTAACCATGGCTCATTGATGTAACACATCATTATGGCCCATTGTGTCAGTTCTTCTGTTGGGATCTGTGCACTATAAGCATGACAGATTTCCTCCGCAGCAATTATAGTCTATTGTGACAATAGGATTTAATGAATATAAACAACAAACCACATAATCTGTTATTACAGAACACAGCTATGCACCCAGATGGGAATTAAGTTCCTAGACATTGCCAGTTGCATTTTTAAAAATTGTGACTATTTCAGGTTTTCGCGTTATTAATTCAGTGCTCTAACTTACAGCATACATTTATCCCAGCCCTGGCAAGTGAAAGGTCTTCAGCATTTAAAGCCTAATCCTGCAAGTGTTCCATGATTTAATATTTTTTTGAGTAAACATCACCTTTTAGGATTTTAGACACTTACTCCCTGTCTTTCACTGTGATACTAATCGTGCTGTTAATGTTTCAGTACTAGCACTGAAGATGAAACAAGAAAATAGCATAAAGTTGGTCACAGAAATTAATGACACATACCAGAACATTCCTGCATTGTTTCCAAAGAACAGACACTTCTGCTTAATATTAATTTTTACAAATGATGGGCAAAGTATTATGCTGGCGCAAATCTGTAAAATCACACAGTTTTGCTCATTGATGCAGCTGAAGGTCTGACCTAGGGTCATTTGATATATTTGTGAAATTAATACTCTTTTTCAAAGCACATAAATGCTTCTTCACATTAAAGGTGTGCAGTCTACAAAAGTTCACACTTTTCCCAGGCTGAATTTAAAAATCTGGCTTGATTACAGAGTTTCAGCTTTTGAATAGAAGTTCTGAACTTGAGTACCTCAGAGATTACAAATATAATGTTGGTACAGCTATAATTTCATCTATGTAGATGACAACTACTAGGAAAAAAATATAAGTAAATAAAAATTCACCATATAGAACAAATTGATGAGGACTACATGTGGATGAGCTATCTAAATGCCACTGTGGATCACCGCAGCCATTTTCATGTACTTTTGAGAGTAAATCCCCAATTAAACATACTTGCACATTTTTGTATCAAAAGAGGAAAAGACTCTTACCCTTACCTAGCATGCGAACACATTTGGCATTCTGGTCAGGACTGTCAAATGAGATTTCTCCGCACCTCTGGAAAAAAAAAAAGGATATATTTAGTTAAAGACTCTGTGATAGTATCCCTGTCCTTCTCCTCTGCTACCTCTGTTTGGTTTTGGCCCTAGAGATGTTCAGAGACAGGTTGTTAAAATGTCAAAATCTCAAGATTTTCAAGTGTGAGGTAGAATGGACATTGTTAATGTGCAGGGATGGGTCAACACTGTGTTCCATGGTGTTCACCAAGAAAAACTTAATCTTACACCCATTACCTTTGTATCTCTGGCTTAAGAAGCTGCCTAATTCATGTTATTATTTGTTAGTGTCAGACCAAATCATACAGGAGGCCTCATTTACCACTGGTAGACATTGTGCCCCTCTCCCGCACACTGATTTAGTTGTCACACGGCTGCACCCTAAAAGGGAGCCACCAAGTGATCCCCTTGAAAACAAACCAAACAGCACTGCTGATGCAATTATTTGTATCCCTGTAAAACAAACTTATTTGAAAAAACGCACAACTCAAGGTACTTATTAAGGAAAACTGTCACTTCACAAAATTTGAACTCTCTGCAACACCGATGAGTAAAATTGTTTTTTTGTAAAGTGCAGATAATTTACACCTCTGTACTAACATGCTTTGTTAATGAAAAATAATATTCCCATATACAGATATATTATGAGGGCTGATGTTCCATGCTTTGTTAATGAAAAATAATATTCCCATACACAATATATTATGAGGGCTGATGTTCTGTCCCTGTACAGACCCAGGGAAGGAATATCAGTAGTTAGGATCAGAATACGAAGGCGTTGGGTTGTTTTCAGAGATAAGACATCATCTTTGAGACAAGCATGTGGGTTGAGCTGCCAGGAGAAACATAATTGGTGCGGCTCATGGGTCTGATCCAGCTCCAATTAAAGTCAGTGAGTGCACAAATCCCGCTCACTTCAGTAATGGTTGCTTCAGGTGCTACAAAAAAGATTCCATTTTATATCACTACGCTCAAAGCTCATGATAGAGGCTTAAGGATAGCCTCCTATTTTATAGGTAAAAGTGGTCCATGCTTCCTTATCTACATATTTATGATTTTGGTATCTATGACCAACTGGGAATAGAAGCACAGCAGTTCAAGTTTGGATAAATCACTGAGAGCTACTCATTTCCCTTCCTCTTCCTTTCTCTCTCTTCAGCAGTTTCCTGTTTTCAGCACCTATGGCTTTCTCTCCTTTGTAAGACAAAGTGGTTAGTCCTGTCTTTTTCTTTTCTCTTTGTTAATAAAAGTGACATTTGCAGCAAACAGTAAAACCTACAAAGAGTCTGGTAAGTAAAAAATCCCAGGGCTTCAAAGAAGATGAAACACAGCGACAGTTTTATAAATGAACAACACATTTGGAACTTGCTATTTTTAAAATAGCCTTCACCTCCCTCACATTGAAATAAACACAAACAAACAAACAAAAGTCCATCTCCCACACAGAGTCTTTTCATATATCAGTACATCTAAAAAGAGCAAACAGACGCCTGTATGAACCTTCCTAGGTGGGAACACATACTGCTGAAAACCTGCAAAAAGAAAACACCACCCACCATTTCAAAGTTAATTTTAGGAATGCTCTTATACCAGCTCCATGTCAGGAGACACAAAAATTTTACTCTTCATTTTTCTAGAAAAAATGTTAAGATATAGGCATCATTTCCCAGAAATCTCCCAGCTTCTTCCTCATGACCATAAGTAAACTCAGACAAACACAGATTTAAGAAAGTGTGTCAAAATTCACTGCTTGCCTCACCCCTGAATTTAAGCAGCTCTTTGAAAATCCTTGGTTATTTTTGGTTTAGTCCCTCGGATGTATTGTATGTTCCAGACATATTTATGCAAACATCGTATTTCAGGCTGGCAAACGCTGTCTGACAATATTTAACACGACTCACCAGTCCTAGTGTTATGAAATTGGGAAAGTGGCTAATAATGTTCCCCCGAGTCTCCTAACATCCCGCAGGAGCCATTACGATGATGGATGAGCTTTGAAAACTTTGCAAGTGAGAGTCAGATAACTGCATACAAGTTCATGGGCTTATCTGAATTCCCCCAACCTCCGCAGCCCACAGAACTGGCTGAAAATCACGCTACAGCAGTCAGCCCTGGAGATTTTTCACTACTACCACTGCAGCTGGAAATAGCAGGAGAAAAAGCTTCGGCAGCAATTTAGTTTCTGATGCCAGTAAAAGTTCATAGGGACACATCAATGGGATGAAAAATAAGCTGTTAGCAAAGTGTTCAGGGCATCCAGAAAAGACTTAGTTGGATCCTGGATGCGTAAAGTGGCACAGAAATGCAGCAGGGACTCAAAAATTTTGCACATTCAAAAATATAAGAGTTGTTTGGGCATTTTTTGCTGTCAGCAAATGTTTTCCATGAACAAGAAGTAAGGAATGACTTCAGGATTTAGTCTTTAGGATTAAACTGAGACTTTGCCACCACTGCTGTGAATTCTTGCCAGGGCTGGATAAGCTTCTCGTGTCCTTTCCCTGGCCTGGCTTACTTCCCTTTCTGTTTTGGGTTTGTTCTGCCTGCTTGTATATCAGGGCTGGTAAAGACAGAGAAGGCCAAGAGTCTCTCAAGTCCCAATCCGTTTCCAAACTAGTCCCAAAGCAGCTGCTAATTCTCTCCTGAAAGATTCTAAGTTGGCGACAGGATGAGTGATGGATCCATCAAAGAGGAATTTGCCATTAAATGCTGGTTATTGTACTTGTTAATGTCAACGAGTTAGAAAGCAGGGAGAGGAGAAAGAATAACCTCAGACATATCTGCTGTACATATGCAGACCTGCTGCACATGTGTAGGTCACCAGATATGTCAGCTGGGGTATCTGAGGGAGACATACATCATCTCTTTTAGACTGGTTCAACAGTCTCCAGAAGCTACTGCTTATAAGCAGCACGAGCAGTATTCATAGGAATCAGGTCTAGAAGAAGGTATCCATTTTGGGATACCATTTCCATATCAATGGTGAGCTGTAAAGGCCAAACACATTATCCAGTTAAGAAGAGCAATAAACTCAAGCAGGAGAGCTGTCTCTGAGCTTCATTTCTTGATGAGGTTGTATTCGTAGTCCTGACCTATATTTGAAGCTCAATAAAGTTCCAAGAATTCACTCTCTAAAAATATGATAAATCACTTTCTCGGATCTAAATGATCCCTGAGTTTGGGATGTTTTAAATCACAGAATCATAGAATACCAAGTTGGAAGGCACCTCAAAGATCATCTGGTCCAACCTTTCTTGGCAAAAGCAGAGTCTAGACAAGATGGCCCAGCACCCTGTCCAGATGAATATTAAAAGTGTCCATTGTTGGGGAATCCACCACTTCCCTGGGGAGATTATTCCAAGGGCTGGTTGTTCTCAGTATGAAAAATTTTCCTCTTGTGTCCAATCGGAATCTCCTCTGGGGTAACTTGTACCCATAACCCTTAGACTTTTCCACGTGGCTCCTTGTAAAAAGGGAGTCTCCATCTTCTTTGAGACCTTGTTTTAAATACTAGAACATGGTGATAAGGTCTCCCCTCAGCCTTCTTTTCTCAAGGCTGAACAAACCCAGTTCTCTCAGCCTTTGCTCACGTGGCAGCTTCCCATTCCTTTGATCATTTTGGTGGCCCTTCTCAGGAACCTCTCCAGCCTGTCCACATATTTTTAGTATAGTAGGGACCAAAACTGAACCCAGTATCAAATCTCAATTTGGGCTTTATGGTTAGGACTACTACAGCACTGGTGGGACTGGCTCTGCTTATGTAGTCCTGGATGCTGGGCTGGTGAGTTTACAGAGGCAGCCCCGCCGAAAATAGTACCACTGGTTTTTACTTCCTCTGAAGAAAGAGAGGATTTGTTGTTGAAAAATCTTAAAACACTGCTGTGTTTGGAAGTGATTTGGAAGATTTAATGAAGAAGTGAGTAAATACAATTAAAATTCACCTCTCCAAATCATCATTACACCTTCATATCTCTTGTATCACTGAATTCTGGACTATACTGTGGGTTTTTTTTCTCTCTCTGGAGAAAAGTACAGTTACTTTCAGGGAATAATATTTTCAGTAATATAGATGCATTTTCAAGTAGGATTGCAGCCTGCCATTCATTATGCATGTGAGAAAGTATTTATATTTATATAAGAAAATAAATTAATAAATTATCTACTCTCAGCTTCCTTTTTGAGATCAGATACATGCCATGGTGTTGAGTCTGTTACACAAGCTGAAATGTAGTAAACTAGAAAAGGACCTTTCCCTCATGGAAAAAGAGACCAAATGGTGGAACAGCTGAAAGTGGACCTTAAAAAAAACAAAGAGAAAAAAATGAGAGAGTTGCTGTCAGAGAATAGGGATGAAAGGACATGATATCCAGCAGAAATGTGACATGAACTCAGGTCCTTTGATGAGATAAGTGAATTGGAGAGCCTGAAGCCAGCCTGGTTGGCTCTGATGGCCCAGAACCACCTGTTGGAAAAGGGAAATACCGTATTACACAGGCAGCATCCTCCACAGCAAAAGACTCTGCTGGAGGAGGGTGCTCTCAGGCAAGATGACCTCTTTGCAAGACACTAAGAGGAGTACACAGGAAAATAGGAAGTCTTCTTCAAGGAGCCCTGTGCCAAAACAGTGCACAGAAAACTGCAGATAAGTAGGGCACAACTGGGAGGAAAAAAAAGTTCATGCAGAGAGTGGATGGAAAAATCTACTCTGGGCAGTTGTACTAATGCAGTAATGTATCTCATATTACTTCTCTGGTATTACGTGATCATTCATAGGTTGGGTTTCCATTTCCAGCATGCCTGGGCTCACACCACCTGCATTTGAGGATTTGACATATGTAGCAATAAACAGGGTGTATATATCCCAGACAGAATATACCCCTAGTTGTGGTTTGGTTTTTTTTTTTTTTTTCTGCTGTGGAGAAAACTTAATTGATGAAAAAGTTGGTTTTAAAGTCATTCTATCCAACTTCTATCTGTATGGTAAATTAAAACGTTACGTGTTTT